AAAGTGACTTTTCCCATCTCTAGCCTTCATAAGAACATCAGGACCAGTGCGACAGGTCACCAGACACCCTCTTGTCTTTTCAATCACTTACTTTCAATGTTGCAAGAGACACTATTCCAGGCATGGAAATATCACAGCTATCTAAACATATGAAGTTCAACTCTTACCTCCAAGTTCTTTTCTCAATTAATCTTTTTATTTACTTCAAACATGGAAGAAGGTTATCAGATAATCAGGCCTTAAGATATGTGTTACAAATACCTGGCCACAGACTCAATGCTACATACCATTTTTAATTTTTTTATAGTCACTTGAAGATCTCCAACTTCTGCTTCATATTGGCGCTTGAGATCATTGAGAGCTTCTTCTGCTTTCTGTTTTTCCTGTAACATTTCACATTTTTGTTAAGTTACCAAGGGCAGACTTGGATAGAACAAGGAAAATATATTTGACAGCTTGATATCTCCCAGGATCCTCCAGCCCCCTAGGGCTACTGACCACATTACCAGGAGGACTCTGGGACTGACAATCCAGGTAAATAATATTCCCAAACTCTGGACATAAGCAATTTACTGTACTGTAGGAAGAGCACATCTCTTCTACTTCCTGCATAATCAGAAATATTTGGGGCCCATCTTAAGGCACTGTGTTTAAAATTTTATTTCCAAGAGCTGTAAAACATTGCTAGGCTGTGCAGAACACAAATTACAATCTCACTGTGTCATCAGTCAGTCTGGTGTCAATGAAAACAATGTGCTTGGTCACCATTAAAATTTATAATCAGCACTATCCCACAAGGTAAATATCACAGTGGCCTTGCATTTACATTTGGGGTGTCATACTGTTTCAAAGTATGTACATGCAGAACACAGTACAATAAGTGTAATTTCAGAAAATGATAAGCAGAATAAGTCACCATGAGCCACCCTCTTGATATTTGACTCTATTTGATTTAACAGATGATCATCTTTCTAGGGTGGGCCTTCCCATTCTTCCATCTACAATTTACAGCATTCCTCACCACTGGACCTGCTGGCTGGGGCTGTTGGGAGCTGGCATCTAAAACATCTAGAGGAAACCAGTTTGGAGAAAGATAACCTAGACATGTGATTGTTATTCTTGCAGGGATCAAAAGTCCTCAACACCTAGATCATTTAGCCCACTGGTTCTTAACCTTGGGTTACTCAGGAGTTTTGGACTGCAACTCCCAGAAGCCTCCACCACCAGCTGTGCTGACTGGGGTTTCTGGGAGTTGCAGTTCAAAAGCATCTGAGTAACAAAGGTTAAGAACCACTGATTTAGCCCTTACTTTTCATAAAGCACAATCTCCTCACAAAACTTCACACCAAAACCAAATGATCAGGGATATTTCCAACGTAATCTGTGATCAGAAATGCACGTTTCTGGATTAAATTGCCTTTTGTGTCTCAATAGCTAAGCAAGAATATAACAACCAGTTATGGCCCATTTTAAGTGGTAGAACCAGAATGGTGCTCAATTTACTTTTGCTAATGAACCCATATTTGGGGTTACATAAAATATATGACAATCTTGAAAGCAAGGATTAATCTTACTTAGATATACAGTGGTGCCTCGCACAGCAAGGTTAATCCGTTCCGGATTAACCCTCGCTGTGTGAAAGCATCGTTGAACGGGGCAGGAAAAGCCATTGGAACGCATTAAACATGGTTTAATACGTTCCAATTGGGCCGAATACTCTCCATTCAGCGATGCTTCCCTATGGCCGGCAGCCATTTTCGCGCCCTCCCCTTGCTTTACGAGGGCGCGAACATGCTGCACGTGGCCATTTTGGGGCGTCCGGTGGCCATTTTGTAGCCGCCGAACAGCTGACCGGCGGGTCGCAAAGCGAAGGTTGGTAAGCGAACTGCTTACCGACCTTCGCTCTGCGATTTTCGCCCTACGCAGGCATCGGTATGCGATCCCAAAACCGGCCTCATAGAGCGAATTCATCGCTCTATGATGGGCTCGTTGTGTGAGGCACCACTGTATTATATAATATGAGAGTAATATGATAGTAGTCATATTATATACTAAAATTTGTACATGAATGGTTTGAATGTTTGAAAGATGTTTGGAATTTGGGGGGCAATCGGGAAGACACTGAGATGTAAAAAACAAATAATTGTAAGCAAAGCATGTAACACGATGTTTGACAAGCACACAACAATGTAGATAGATTGAAAAACTAATAAAATGTTTACAAAAAAATTAAAACTTTGGCTAAAATACTGCAAAACCTCCTTCACCAGCAGGAAAGAAAGACATGCTTCTCAAACACCTTCAATGGCTTTTAAATTACCTTTCTGTTGTGGTTGTTCCGTGTCATCAAGGCATTTTCAACTACCTGTGACCCTGAGAAGGGTTTTGATTTATATGAGATGTTCAAAGAGTGGTTCCCCGGGGCCAAACTCACTGCCGCTGAGCCTCCATGGAAATGCAGGAATTTGAACCCAGGTCTCTTGAGTCCAAGTCCAACACTCTTGGCACTCTACCACTGGCTCTCATTCCTCTTATCGTACAGAAAGTCTCACCAAATCTATCGTCTTGCGTTCAGTCTTCCCATATGGCACATATGTGAAGGAAGGCCTGAGAAACCAGTTGGGAGTCTTTAACATGGAGGAAGCCCTGGGAAGGTTACCATAAGGCGGAACTGACTTGATGGAACTTAATTGCTATTGTTACTCATGCTCACTGTACCCCAACAGGCCTCTTATTACCCGTTATGCTTCCCTGATGGCTGGAAACTTTCTGGTTTCCTCATAATTCTATTCTTGTCCTATTGTTCATCACATGTAATTACGTGAAGTAGAAAGTGCATCTGTGTTTCTTTTCAACTCAAAGTAGGAATCACATGCTACTGAAAACTGATCAATCTTTTTTTTTCCTTCTGCTCATTTTGGAAATATGGGAAACATAACTGAGTTTAACACGCAAAGTATGCCAGGAAGGAAAGAAAGAATGAAGACTGCCTTGCACCCTTCCTGGGAAGGATAGAAATGTTTCTGCTAATGTCACAGATTTCTTTGGTTGTAGTTGGAGATGAAAGTAACTTTGTTACTTACAAAAAAAATAATACTGAGAAAAGGGAACAAATATTATTAAGGCCTCACCACCAAGATTTGATGGTTTAATTTTTACAGAAACTGCTTTCACTGTACGGGGAACATTTCAATAGATTATTTCCAGCAGGAGTGTGTGACATTGAAAGAATTGCTACTTGGTGTGGATTCTGTGATGTTTACTCAACCTGTCACCCGAACGGAAGCTTTTCCCACACTCCATGCATTTGAAGGGTTTCTCTCCTTTGTGAACCATTTCATGGGAACGAAGGTGATCCCTACGACGGAAGCTCTTTCCACACTCCAGGCATTTATAAGTTTTCTCCCCTGTGTGGATTCGGGAATG